AGTAGTAGTAGTAGTAGTAGTAGTAGTAGTAGTAGTAGTATTTGTAGACTTCGTATAGTAGTAGTATTTGTAACTAGATAGGATGTCACCAGAACGAAGTATGAGTATAGGAGAGCCGCCCTTCCTCTCACTCAGGGATCCACGCTTTCAGTTCTTCCCAAATCCTTACCGAAGAATATTGAATATCTTGGGTCTGTTCTATTACCTGTAACAGTCAGTAAGCAATTACTACTATTTTTGAGCAAGGCCTATAGCCCAACCACCATCATCCACTGGGCCCAGGTATTAGGATAGACCATGATAGACCCAATGAGTATCAGTTCATAATCCACTGCGCAGCTTCGAATCCCCGCACCTTTGCCGCCTCTCCGGACCCAACCCACTTGACCGCGCCAGGTGCGGAGGAGGAGCACGCGGAGGCCGTGGTGAACTTTGCCAGTGGTCGCCTGACGAACAGCGGGCTTCACTTGGTGGAGGCACGGCTGGAAGAGGGTTGTGGTGACCGCCAGTACCAGACCCTGCTGCTCCCTATTCACACACTGATTGGCAGAAGTAAAGTGGGAGACCCAATCTTTAAAGGTTTGTGTAGCATGATATAAAGATGTCTTATACATAAGCCATATATATATATAGTCACATATATATACTGTATATAACTTATATAACCACTCCTTTAAAGGCTTGCGTATCCGTAGACGCCAGACCACGCAGCTCGGGTGGCCAGGTTGAACCCACCAGCTTAAACCATGCCTCGCAGACCACGACTCCCAAACCACGACCCACAAGGGGTGGTTCATCAAGGCTCAGTAAGGCTCTAAGGGATCACGAATGGACACCGGGGACAATCCGGGAAGAGACCCCCCACTTTCAGGGTTCTCCCGATGGATGGAGGCTTCTCCCGCCCTGGCACCCATTGAACTTGGCACCAGGCCTCCACCTATCACATTGGTGAGGGCTATGCGGCGAAATTGGAGTTGGAGCCGGACGGGCTAAAGGGGCACGGCGTGCACGGCTGAAACGGCCACAGATCGTGGCACGGCTCTTCAGCCTTGTAGAAGTGGAGCATTGATGAACATTGAATTGCACCATCCCTGCCAAGATTTTAGAATGTGTCGTTTTTTGGGGGGGGACCCCTGACCAATGCGCATGGCTTGGGGCTTCGATTTGAGGTTTGTAGGGGGTTCTTAGTGCTTGGAGACGCAGCCAAATGTGCACAAGTTCGTTCAAGTCCTGACTTAACAACGAGGTAGGCGTGTACCCAACCAACAGAGTGATGGAATTCGATTAACTTGTTTGCTTCCATAGTTTATATATGTTGAACATCCTCAATCCTCTTTAATTACAGTGTCAGTTCCTTGCCTCAATGCGGATTTGGGTCCGTTTTTGTTTTTAAAGTTTTTCAAGGCACTCACACGCCATTCCCGCACACACACACACACATGAAATCACCATGCCCATTGAACCCGATGACCCTGGATGGCTGCAAAGGCATCGAGAGACACATGATCATGCATGGTGCACCCAAACACTGCACTTGCTCCAAAGCCACAAGTGTTCATGTGTCAAAGATTTCCAAAGCCAGATATCGGCGGAGGTTGCCCCCAAAAGAGGATTAAGACTGTTAAGATATGTTAAGATCCCTTGTTGTGGTGGTTCCAGGCATGTGACACAGTGTTGTGGCTTGGCCACTGGGGCTTGCCCAAGCACTGCACATCACGGCATGCCAACCGCACTTGTGCCACAGGGAGACAGCACTGTGGGCGTTTGTCAAACCCAGTTCAACACCAACACAAACTATGATTGGTAGGATTGTAGAGCAATTTCATTTGGATTTTGTTGATCATATCTTTAGTAGGAGTTTTGAATCGTGTTCTCGCGATAGCAGTTGGACTGATGGCAACGTCTCATTCTGATAGAGGAATATGATACAACACAGTAATACTACCCCGCAGAGATATTTCGCAGAACTGGTAGCTGGTTCAGCAGAGAGATGGCGATGGCAAGAAGACAAATTTAGTAAAGGATCAATGTTAGCTCACAACTCACACAAAAATCAGTGGATTTTCCCAGTTTTCCCACCACCAACAACAGCATGCTTTTGAGATCCCTCACCGGCATAACAACGAACTTGTACTACCTCTTTATTTGCGTGTTTCTTTGTCTCCCTTGGGCCAGGACGTGTCTTGCCACAAGACGCATAGCCAGGCAGGTCGTGCCTTGCGCGGGTCGAGCCTGGACATTCTGATGGCAGAATGGGGGGTGGACTGAGAACAACACCAAAAAATGCTACAGTGGTTTCAGAGTAGATGGGACAGACCCCAAGATGTCTTTCAGATGGGGTCAAGGTCCATATAAACCACCTCTTGGGGGTCTGTGCCATCTACTCTCAATCCATTATATCGGAGGAAAAAACGGTGACCTATCCAAGGTCTACAGCGAAAGACAAGAGCCCTGCCAGTGGAGACGGCGAGAGACACAAGAAGTGCTAGAATGTGGATGAGCATGGACTCCAAGTCTATCCTACAGATCCGATCCTAGACGATCCGGAAAGATTCAAAAAGGGTCAGGTTGGAACACATCGATGAGCATTGATCATTGATCACCAACAAGGTTCCACTCCGATTCACCTGGAACTGGAAACCACCCTAGTACACCAAAACCAAAGGAAGATCATCATCCAAGGGTCCACTGCCATCCCCTATAGGCACCATCCGTGGAGATCTCAGGTGGCCGAGATCTTGGACAATCTGGAGAAGAACATGCTCAGTTCGAACCTGGAGGCCTAAACAATGGGCAGAGATGGACATGAAGATGGCCGACCAACTTTTTACTTTTTGCTTTGAACGAGTATGTTTTTTTGCTGGCTGCTTCAAAGACACATGGCTGGGGGCCTTAATGGATTGTATGATACATGGAAAATTATCCCTGATGTGTAAATTCCTTTTACCAATTCCTCATGTGTATCGAACTCTGTTTGTGAGGCTCTCTAGCCTCCATTGGTCAACCAGGCTTCACTCAGGGTCTCCTAGCTGACAACATGGCTGCTGAGAACGCGAGAAAAAGCGCCGTGCCAATCATTCATGACGTCATGTTCAGTGTCCAAAGAAGACACGAAAAGACCCATGGCAATATATCACTTGTTGTGCCCCTGGCTGACTTGTGACGCACTTCAGTGAAATGGCTTGAGCACATCACCAGAATCCAGAATCCACAACTGCCAGGTGCACAGGCCATGGGGTATACCGTATTATGCCATGTTGGTGTTCTGTAAAAAACATATCCCCAAACAAATCGACATGTGCCCCCTCGATGTGAATATATGCCTTCAAATCTTTGTACAAAGAGATGTACTCTCCTGCTTCTTTAAATTGACCTAACTTGATCCCCTGGCTTGAGGTCACAAACAGGCCTGGAAAAGGTCGCCTATAGGGACTCCGAAAAAGGGCACAAACTGAAGAAGCTGGCTACAAACATTGTGGAATATATACTGTATATGTATATATAAAAATCATTCTTTATATCCAAACCACCAGAAACACATGGGCATTCCTATATGGCACTTGATATCCTTTTCATAGGAAGTGGCTGCTTGTTGGTTGTTTGGATTTCCAGGATGAACTCTCTATTTCTGTTTGAGGACCGAGAAGACGTGCTCCACCTCGCACCCCGTGCGAGACCGTGCAGGTCATGGAGGTGCACGCGCGCTTGCGGCCATCTCAGAAGGCGTTCGGCGTCACGGATCTGGCGAAGCGTCGCGGATCGTCGTCTTCGGCGAAGCAGAGACCTGGACCTTCCAACTGCTCAACATGTTTGTTTTCTGACTATTGAACTGTTAAATATTGAACAGTTCAATAGTTCAATATTTTTAGGAACTATTCACAATATTTTCAACATATTGACCTTTGTGAACAGTTCAATAGTTTGAATTAGTAACAGATCCAGGTATAGTTGGACCGGACCCCCAGTCATTGGTGGTCGTGGTCGTGGGTTTTGAGA